GCCACTGCTGGCTGAAATCTGTGATCCCAAGGGACCCTGATTTAAATCTCATCCCAGTTATGAAACTATCAAAGTTGCTTTTGATCACCAGGGGAAGATAACCCCACAACAACAGTGAGATTTTTCAAAGGCTGTAAAAGCCAAAAAGAAGCCAAAGAAAAGAGAGTTGCAGAATATATTGTCCCCAATACATTCAAGTTTTTATTAACAAGGCAAGCTGGAGGAAAATGTGTAACACAAGATTAAGACACCCCTAAATTGAACAAGTTTAAAAGTAAAAATAAAATATGTGCCATCATGTTACTTGCTGACTTAATAGTCAAGAATTTCATAGGGTTTTCTTGTTGATTGTTGTTGTTGTGTGCTTTTACATCATTTCCAATTTCCAATGGAGACCCTAAGGCAAGCCTATCACAGGGTTTTATTGGCAAGATTTGTCCAGATGTGGTTTGCCTTTGCTTCCCTTTGAGGCTGAAAGAATGTGATGTCCCTAAGGTCATTTAATGGGCTTCCATGGGCAAGCAAGGATTCGAACTCTGGTCTCCAAAATCCTACTCCAATGTTCAAACCACCATGTTGGCTCTCCAGGGCTTTCGTAGACAAGGAGTATTTAGAGGTGGTTTGCTATTGCCTTCTTCTGAAATATATCCTACACTGTTACCCTAACAAAAATTCAACTTCACATATGTTTTCCATTTTTAGAATACAGAAACTTTGTTCTTTTTATCAAGGGAAGCTAAAAAGTAATGTCTAATGTAAAAATCAAGAATTTTAAAAGGAAGCAAGTTTACATGTCCAAAATGGGACATGGTATGTATACTGCTACAATTTCAAAAGTGGATAGATGCAATTCACTTTTATTGAGAAAAAATAACACCTCATCAGGGAATAAGGATGCAACTGGACCCACCTTTCTGCCTCCTCCAAAAATAGGGATCACCCACAATAAAGATGATGATCTGTTCATACCTTCTGAAACTATTCTGACTATTACTGGAAGGAGCAGGCATGTAGTTTGCAAGTACTGCTAGATCCATCACTCTCACTTGGAAGCCCAAATGGATCCTGTGGGTCAAAATGCTTGGCACAAGCTTTGGCTGGCATGCCAGCTACAGCCTTTTGTGGATGAGGATAATTTAGCAACAGTGGTCCATGCACTGGTAACTTCCCAATTTGACAACTGTAATGCACCAAATCCCATCTGATTTTGGAAGCTAAGCAGGGTCAACGCTTGGATGGGAAACCACCAATGAATACTGGGTGCTGTAAGCTACCATATATTTCAGAGAAAGGAATTGGCAAAATCACTGTTGAGTATTCCTTGACTAAGAAAAGCCTATGAAATTCATGGGGTCA